GGAGGAAAATGTTTTAAAGAGCATGCAAGAGTTAGACGAATTATTAATTTTGTTATGGTAGTATGTCCATTTAGCAGTGGAGACATTAGCAAAGAAGGAAGAGATGAGTGACTGATACACATTAAGGTCAGTACGATTTTTGGATTTACGCCACACCCTTTCAGCAGCCCTGAGCTTAGAACGATGTTCGCGGAGAACATCAGATAACCAAGGGGCAGAAGGGGTGGTACGGGCTGGTCTGGAAGACAAGGGGCAGACAATGTCTAAACAAGATGTAAGAGTGGAGCAGAAAGTATCAGTAGCACTGTTAGCATCAAAAGATGCTATTCATCCAAGAAGTTACCTAGTGGTCCTGGGGGTCGATAAACAACTACAAAATGGATTTTAAGAGGGTAGGTAATAGTAACTGAATGTGATTCAAAGGAGCTGTTGATACCCAAAAATGGTAAAGGATTAAATTTCCAATCATTAGAGATAAGCAGACCAGTCAGACCAGTGGCCACCTCTTCCAGTCAAACGGGGGGAGTGGGAAAATGAGAAATTATTGGAGAGTGCTGCAGGTGTCCTCTGGTTTGATCCAGGTCTCTGTCAGGGCCATGAGATTTAGCTATTTATGTTAATTTATTAATTAGTTATGGAAAAATAAATACTATAAAAAAATAACGCAATTAACGTATTCGCCACGCCATTCCCCAAACCTTCACGTCATCTTACATTTCATAGAGTTGACTGTTGACAAACATGATGAAGGGCAACAACTCACTGCGTGATGTAGCTTATAATGCAGTTATATGGCTTTAAAATGTAAAATATTGGGGCAAAAAATGCCCCTGAATGAGTTTTTGTCATATGATAAGGGATATCACATAAGCAGCGAGAGCAATATCACACAAGTGTTGTTTTTGTTTCGAATAGCACGAGTACAAATGTGATTTTATACAACAGATAGGAAGTTAATATTGTGTTATATATTATTGTCTGTTTTTACTCAATATTTCCAATGAAAATATTATCTATAAAGCCACAGTAGAACTGTTGTGGGTCTCTGAGCAACACAGTAGTGATTTGTTTCTAAATGAATCCACGTTTTGAACAAATCGTGTGAACCAATGATTCAGTGGCCCATTCAGAAAGTGAGCCTTTTATTTAATTCCTGAATGAATCAGCAGTTTGAACGAATCAAAAGAATAAATGACTTGATTACTTACTCATAAAGATATTTACCACCGCCTACTGGCAGTTTTAGTTTCTTATTTAGAGTATAATTTCAATAAAAAAAGATAGTTTGCCCAAAAATTAAAATTCTGTAATCATTTACTCACCTTCATGTCGTTTCAAACCTGTAAGACTTAGTTTCTTTTGTGGAACATAAAAGAAGGTATTTGGAAGACTGTTGGTAACCAAGCTGATTTGGTTACCAGGCAATGACTTTCACTGTATGAACAAAAAATACTGAGGCGTTTCTCAAATGATCTTTTATGTACCATAGTTAATGTTAGGCTGTTGTAGACTAAATGTTTATGTGTAATAAATTTCATGTTGAATCAAATAAAATATTTCTTTCTAAAGCTACTTTTTGTTATATCTACTTGATACTTTTCTCATTTAACACAATAATTAATTTTAATTAATTAATTAATTTAATTAACAATAATGGCTTTAAATGATCTTTTGGGGGTATTTTCACAGCCAAATTTAATTTGCGATTAATTAGATTAATCGCCACATCATGTAATTAATTAGATTAAAAATGTTAATCGACTGACAGCACTAATTATGACACAATTTTCATTTTGGGGTGAACTGTCCCTTTAAGTAACATCTGTGTTTATTTCTTATGACTTGAGAACTAATGTCCCTCAAGCCCTTTTCAACAAACCTGAACACTAATAAATATATGCTTTTCATCTTTTCCTTTTCATTCACCCTTCCAAAAAAAAACTTTCCCCTTCCTTCCTCGTCATCTCACCAGGAGAGCCACATAAATGCTGATATTTGAAATGCCTGGATTGGTCTAAACCAGCCTTAGAGGATTGGTATCTGTCAGGATGATGCTGTGTGTGTGTGTGTGTGTGTGTGTGTTTACAGCTTATTCACTCACAAGTACACTTAGTAAATCTTTCCTTTCTTCCCTCCATCTAAAGCAAAGGGTGATGCTTCTTGACCTCTGCATTAACAGAAATAGTTTTCCTGCGGGAGAGCCATGTTATGGCTAGAGAGAGAGTCTGCGTGTGACATTTATGGAGTCAGCTCCTGCCCAGCTTTCTGCTCTCACCCTGTTTGTGCGCTGACAACACATCTGCAGCGTTCTGCACTCTCGGTTCATGTGCGGCGTTTGTGTGTTGCGAGGAGAGATTCTGTATATTATTCAGCTTGAACAGGGAGGATCATCAATAATAACTAAGCACTGTGATTGAGGCTGTAAAAAGAAGCGCTCCACTGTCTCTCGTGGAGTACATTGAGTGCTCACTGTCTCCTTTTTGTTTTTAACTCCTTTTTTGCTCATATGAGAAGAGATAGATTTAAGGGTTTTGGTATACAGTGACCCTAAAATGTATTTGCCAAACTTAAACCAAACTTAAAAACGTCTGAATTGCTATATATAACAAAATATCAAACTATGAGGATTTTATTTTAAAGAAAACCCACAGAAAGCAGCATATTAAATTATTTCTGATATATCATATGACACTAAAGACTGGAGTAATGGCTGCTGAAAACTCAGCTTTACAATCACAGGAATAAATTAAATTTTAAAATAGATTCAAACAGAATAGAGTTATTTAAAATTGTAATAATATTTCACAATATTAATGTTTGCTGTTTTTTTTAAATAAAACAGCCTTGGTGATCATTAGAGACTTATTTTAAAATATGAAAAAAATCTTACAAATCCCAAACTTTTGAATGTTAATGTATACTGTTGAAAGGGATAGTTCACCTTCAGTTGCTGGTCCCCATTGACTTCCATAGTATGGAAAAAAAACACTATGCAAGCCAATAGGGACCAGCAACTGAAGGTGAACTATCCCTTTAAAATGTACTAAAAGTATGTGGGCTCTGACCTGTGTTAACTGATTTTAACTGTCTTTGTTCCACTAGATGTTTAAAAGTAATTGCAAAATGTCTCAGAGAAGTTCCTGCATAATTTTTGTGCAGATGGTAACCAAGTGTTAATTAAGTGTCCAAATCCACATTTCTTTCTAGAAACATTTTCCAGTATTACTTGGCTGTGTCATGTGTTTGGTGGCTATGATGACACTTAGGCCTCAGGGTCACAGGGAAGGTCAGTGACTGTCGCTTTGGCACTTTGGAGGATCAGCCAATCAGGAAGCAGGACTTTGGCCTTTGAATAGAGAGCTTCAGAAGGCACTGTGCGGTAGAGAGCTCATGGCAAGATGGCCGACATCCAGTTTTGCAGAAAAATACAAGAGAGATAGTAAATTCACTGTGGAGGAAAATGACAAGGGAATACTGGAAAACACAAACATGTGTCCATATATTAACAAGAGGAAAATTATTCAGAGACATAATATTTTCCATCCTTTTTTGCAGTAATATAAGAACAGAACTGGATGTTGCTTGCTAATATTAGAAACGTCATTGAAAAGATTGATGTATACAGAGTGCCTGACAGGACTGCAAATTTCTGGGGTGTGAGTTTTTAAAGGGGTCTAAAGCATTTATATATGTGTGTGTGTGTGTGTATTTTATAGGAATGGCACAGGGGAATGATCATGGCACGCAGTATCGTTCTGCCATCTACACCTACAGCCCAGAACAGCAAGAGCTGGCCATGAGAAGCAAGCATATGTACCAGGAGGTGCAATATCTCGAAACACACACACAAACTTTCCATTGAATTCTGTTGCTTTTATAATGACTTAATGATATTTTATTACTTCTAGTCCTACCCCCTTCAAACATAACCATGATGGTACATTTTTTATTTTTAGATTTTCCTTAAGATTTCATTATTTATTACTACTTATTAAGATTTTATTTCTAATTATGTTTTTTGTTTTGTTTTTTGATTTAAAGGGATAGTTCACCCAAAATTGAAAATTACCCCATGATTTACTCACCCTCAAACCATCCTAGGTGTATATGACTTTCTGTAACACTTTATTTTAAGGTGTCCTTGTTACACATGTTACATGTACTTACTATTATAATAACAATTAATTATGCATAATTACATGCAAGCAACCCTACGCCAAACCCTAATCCTAACCTAACCATGTAGTAAGTACATGTAGTTAATTAATATTACTCAGTACTTAAATGTATAATTGCACTGTAACAAGGACACCTTAAAATAAAGTTTAACCTGACTTTCTTCTTTCAGGCGAATGCAATCAGAGTTATGTTAAAAAATGTCTTAGCTCTTCCAAGCTGTATAATGGCAGTGAATGGTGGTTGAGATTTTGAAGCCCAAAAAAGTGCATCCATTCATCCTAAAAAGTACTCCACATGGCTTCGGGGAGATTGAAGCATATTAATGCGTTTGTGTAAGAAAAATATCCATATTTAAAACTTTATAAACGGTAATCTCTAGCTTCCGCTAACTGTTGTACGCGTGTTCACGAGAGAGTGGCTTTCCAGCGGATGATGTAGGACGTAGGCGTAGTGTAAGCTCCAGTGAGAAGTGACGAACGTGAAAGCACAGAGGAGAGAGCAAAACACTGGTAACAAATTAGAAGTATATAACAAGGATTTATGGAGAAAAATGTCGGAGGATTTCGATATAAGCCAAGAGGAGACTGGTTTTCCTGTGCTGTAAACAAAACTTGGTTCTCGCGAGCATATTCTTACCACAGCTTATGCTACGTCCTATGTCTTCAGCTGGAACGCCACTCTCTCATGAACATGCATACGACAATTAGCGGAAGCTAGAGATCAGGGTTTATAAAGTTTTTAATATGGATATTTTCTTACACAAATGCATTGATTTGCTTCAGGAGGCATTTATTAACCCCCCGGAGCCATGTGGAGCACTTTTATGATGGATGGATGCACTTTTTTTGGGCTTCAAAATCTCGACCCCCATTCACTGGCATTATAAAGCTTGGAAGAGCCAGGACATTTTTAATATAACTCCGATTGTATTCGTCTGAAAGCAGAAAGTCATATACAGCTAGGATGGCTTGAGGGCAGTGTTAATTTTGACAGCAAATTTGTATTTAGTTTTAGTCATAGTCTTTTGACTAAAATGCCATTTAGTTGTAGTCATATTTTAGTCATCTGAATTGTTTTTAGTTTTAGTCTAGTTTTAGTCGACTAAATATCATAAGATTTTAGTTGACTAAATCTTCAGTAAATTTAGTTGGCTAAAATCGAATGGGTTTAGTTACAGTGCATTTATTAAGCATTTCTCTAAAATTTCCAAACTCATTATATAGGTTTGATATTAAGGTTTTACCATGATAGACACAGATTTAACTGCCGTGACACACAACATGCCTTTATGTTAAAAT